CGTCCTCGAGGGTCTGGTCGATGCTGGATCGGTAGGGGCGATAGGGGCGTGTTGAAAATCCTCTCTCACGGCGAGCGTGGGCCTTGCCGTGTCGCGGGATAATTGGGACACCGTGTATTATCGGCTTGCGTGCCATAGTTGCGGTGTGCGGTGTGTGATTGGATAGGCGGAGATGGGTCGCGCGAGATAGCTGACCCTAACTAACGTACGAACCGAGGCTATATCTTCGGAGACCATCTTCTCCATCTGCAGCAGCATTACCTATCCACGTCACGGTTGATGCATGGCGTGGGCGTTCCTGCGTTCTTACGTCGGGGTTCTCATTTAATTACTCCTTCTCCCCACCACTGTTTTCCTCCTTGTTTTTCCCTCGATGGGAAAACGATGTCCCGATGAGTCGTCGTCGTCGTCCAGCAAATCGCCAGAGATCGCGTGTGTCATTTATCCGGGACTAAACTGATGGGTGAAAGACTAATAATTATAAATTGTTGGGAATTTTCAGGTAACAACACAATTCCATAAAATAGTCTAGATTGCACGATCCAAGGGAAGGAACCGAAAATTTCCCGTCATTGCGAAGGATAATCGAGGGTGTTCGAGAGGCAAGGGAGGACAGGCCCGATTATAAATCACGAGGTTCACCGGGACCCTTTGACGACCCGACACAGTCGTGCACCCCATACTCTACGCCTTGTTATACACAACCATACGTCGATATACGTATCGTATGTACGTAGATGCACGTATACGTAGCATCCCTACCTGGATACAAGTCGTCTGGCACGCACATACGACACACGAGAGGGAAGGGACGAGAGGCCTCATTAACTGGTTATTAATAGCTTAGCCGGCTCATATTAATGACAGACGCATCTGCTTCTTATATATCTACGGATCTGGCTGATCCGTTCTCTCCCCCCGTCTCGCTAAAGGGTCAACAATTTTTACCGGTCGTTCAATGAACGACGAGCTGCTCCGCAAATGTCTAGTGTTTAAGGGGGTGGTTCTAATGGGGATGATTAGTATGTGTTCCTTGAGTAGACATTGTGTGGGTTGAAGTGAAATTTTATTGTGATTTTGCGCGAGTTTTTGGGTGGTAGTTTTTATGATGCGATGGCGGTAAAGAACTTTACGTAAGTCCATTTTTTCGCAATAGGAAGATCGATTAATAACATTTTTTAAATACGGTAATTAAGTACCATGAGAATTTATAAAATATCTAGGAAATCATTGTGTTTTTTGTTCATAATACCTGCTTTATACGCATCGTTAAAAAAAAGCAATCATCCGGCACGCAACATCCTTGAATAATCGTTTCCACGTTTTTTGGTTCAATTATATTATCCTCAGTCAGGCGGGCACTGCAAATGTTTTAAATTTTAATTTCCAATAAGATTCAGGAATTTCGTTGCTCGTGGTAAGTCGAAGATGATATTGCAGAGATTTGCCAACACTCATCGGGAAGAATTCAGTTTTTCGAGCGGGTCAGAGGTCGATCACCGAATTCCTTGAAATTCGAGGAGCGACATTTATTAACTGACATGCTGGTGTCAGTGAAGAATGATCGAGTCATTAAAGTTGCTTCTGCTCCTTTTCGAAACCTCTCCCAGACTTTCGTACGATACGTACGTACATACGTATCGAATCAATATTTTTTTTCTTGTTTCAATATTAATCTATGTAACTTCTTCAAGTGTTCCAATTTTGATATGTCGCAGTGACATAATACTTGATATTTAGTAAATTCTTCGATCGAAGCATGAGGTGGTTCGAGAGGTGACGATGATAAATCGCAGAGACTCGGTGGCCAAGTGTATCAGGGAGGGATATTCAGTAGCCTCTGACGGCTGGTTGCCCAATTTAAGAGGTATTCAAGGCGACACAAAGAGGTCCGGTGGCTCATATGTCATCGTGGCAAGTCTATGGCGTACGTTCGGCTTTGTCCGACGATCCCCGACGATAGATACGTGGCCATTTATGCCGTGCCGCATCGCGCCGCGGCATCCCTTCTTCTTCGACTGTTACTCGAGCGTTGAACGTCGGTCCACCGCATCGTCGAGGCGCTCGCGAATGCTAATTGATGTTACTGACTTGGAGTGACCCAGGCCTCGTGTGTGGTCCTCGTCGTGGGTTCTCGCTCTCTTAATCGACTTCGCTTCGAGAGGATCGAGCGGAATCGTTGCCGCGAGAACTGGGACGTTTGTCTCGCGAAAGTACCGGCTGTTCGATCAACTAGCACGGCACGACCTAATGTTAAGTAACTGTAGTCGTTACGTCCGAATAGAAAAGAAAACGTAGCGAGTGATGGACACGCGCTGCTCCATTTTGTCGACACGGTTTCAAGCTGGTGCAGAGCGGCCAGATTACAGATCTCGAGGAATTAATTTGCGAGAGGAAGGAAAGAAGCGTAGCAGGGGCGGCGCCTCGCTGGCAGGAAATCGCAGCTGTCGAAGAAGATGCTACCAAAAATCGCCAGCCTAGCCTGGTGTCTATGCGCAGCGTGCTATTATTTTTTACGACCCTGGGGAACAGTAAATCGCGTCTAATTCGACGTTTAGCGATTTAAACGTTTGTCTGTGATCACCAGGACGCATCTATAATCTGCGGTCAGTCCAGCCGTTCGGACATGCAACTTACTAAAAACGCAGCTGCTCCCAAACGAACAGAATCATCGGCTTAGTTTCCTTTTTATTTTCTCTTCCATTCTGGTACATCGACCATCTCCTTTTCCCTCTTCGTTATCATAACGAATTGAAAAGTTTAGAGATTTATTGCTTCTCTAGAGTTCTCTCGCCCGGTCTTGTATCTCGTGAGAGACTCGGCTAACTTTTCGTCCCGGTATTTCGATCTTTCGTGCTCTATGGTGTGGCACGAAGAAACCTTCGTGATACTTACGCCATCAACCATCCATTTCGCGGTGCTTCGTCAAGTCAAGCACGGTGTAACGTTTTCAATAAAAATTCTAGCTAGATGGGCGTAATCATAGCTAGTATTAACGAAGCCGATCTTCATTTGCTTAGATATTCAGATTCCACGAAGGTAGTGGGAATCGTTACGCTCAAGTGTGCTTCCTCTTTTTTTCTTCATCCGACCATTTCGACGGCAGTGATTACCGAAGAAGAGCTGTTCTAAGCTGGTCCTTTGCCGTGGAGGTGGCAGAGAGAGGGAGAGACAAAAGGAAAAAAGGTCGAGACTCGCAGGTGGTGGGATGAGAAGGTAAGAACGAAGGAAGAAGGAAGGAAGAAGGAAGAAGGAAGAAAGGACGAAGAAGAAGGAAAATGAAAGTGGAGGGTAGAGAGAAGATCTCGTTGGATAGAGGAGCCAGAGGGACGAAGGACGGACGGGGGTGTAGCAGAGAGCAGAGGTTACTTTTAATGTCTCGCGTCACGCAGCCCAAGGCACCGTGAGCCTCGCCTCGTCCTCCTTACTAATTTGGCGCCAATTTCCAAGCAACCTCCCAACAGCAAAAACTAACCGAACCATATACACCGCTTCTATATACATACACTTGTACCGTGCACTTCACCATGGGCTCTGATTAAATGCTACCCGCCGTCTTCTTCTTCTTCTTCTTCTTCTTCTTCTTCTTTCTTTCTTTCTGTATTCCTTCCTCTTCTGTCGTAGCTCTTTTCTTTTCTTTTCTTTTCTTTTCTTTTCTTTTCTTTTCTTTCTTGTACACCGTTCCTTTCGTCGCTCTTTGCTTTCGTCGTTTCTTTCCTGTTCGACCCGTGTTCCCACACTCCGTGGACGCGTACCGCACCAGGGACCATTGCATCCCTTGATGCTGGAACACGCACGCGTGTGCTGCTGCGTGTTCCGGACGACTTTCAACGATACTGCCATACCCTCTTCTTTCTTTTCTTTCCTTTTCCTTCTCCTCCTTCTTGTTCGGCTTAAAGCGATCGCTAAAACAGTTTCGTGGACTTTTTGGAATCTCCTTGGGAACGAACGTCGATGCTCTGTTCCGTGAATTTTTAACAGATTCAATTACTGCAGAATTTCGAGTTATTTAGTTTAATCGCTGGTCACGTTATCATTGGTAACTCTTCGAAAGGGTTATCACTTTGGAATTTATATATCGGTTAGAATAGATTGACGAGCAGAAGGACGAAGGGTGGTTCCCACACGGGTCGCGCGAGTCGCGAAGCGAAGGCAACCAGGACGTCGATAGGATCGGTCGTATGGCGTCGGGTTATGCAAATACGAGTCTCAGCGGGCGTCAATTTAATGGCGAGGCCACAGGTTCGGGCACCGTGGGCCACGCATCTCGTGGCGTAGAGGAGCGGCTGGAAGGGCAACCAAGTTTGACTGGCGATCAGTAGTGATGGACGTTCGATTCTCCTTCTGCGAGTTTCCGAGCAATTTTGCCCTGCAGGTAGTTGATGGGTTAGTAATCACTTCCATTTGCTTTAAATATCATTGGAAATTTTTCCAAGCTCTCGAGACGTGATTGTTTATAAGACAGTGATTATAGTAAGATATTCTTTGCTTTTCTCTTGATATTAAAAAAAAGACATTCAGGATATGACAGGTATCGAGATGTATGGAGACTGTCGGATGATGAAAAAATAGGGGTAGATTAGGACGAAAGGGGAAATGGTGACGAAAGAGCAACCGGGTGGCATGGATCCTCCGTCAGAAGTCAGTATATACGCATCCTCCTTCGAAGAGTTTGGCAGGCTTAAGACAAAAGGTGATTAGGATACGCGCAGTCGATGGTGGTTTATAAAGACCCCCATAGCGTGGCGTGATGAGGTCAAGCAGCGGGGAGTCATCCGTATACCGAGGGCCGATCAAAAACTTATCCTTGCCACGTGATATACTGCCCGTAGATGCCTGCCAACCTCTTTCTCCCTCTTTCCTCCCTCTGTTCGATGACCCGATGCCTGCATTCGCTGCCAGCGATGGACTCGACACTCCTCTTATCGCGTTTCGAACTACTTATTTCGCTGAATCGTAGAATTTCATTTTTCAATATTTCTTGCGATTTCGAACAAATGACGCGCGATCATTGCGACGGGATTTTCACAATTCCAAGCCAACTTTTTCGAGGTTACGGTTGATTCGAGCCCTTATTTTCCAATGTTATTGAATAACGACGCGTGGAGTCCCAGCTGGATTCGCGGTAGCAAACTTGACGAGATAGTTTGGATCGCGAAATACGTGTTAGCGTGGTGTACAGGCATTAACATCGTCTTCTTCAACATCAACGAGAAGAAACTTAGCTTTCGTTGGTGTTGGAACAGCGACTCTGGAGAAGGTGCACGATGTCTCTCTGGTCATTCCAAATTTCCAATCTTCGCTTTTGCCGAGAAAACGATGCAGCCCAGGATTATAGTCATATCTTATCCATCGATGACGAAAGTTTCCGAATGCACCGGTGGATGTCCATCAGGATACTTGGCCACTGCATTTACAGCACAAGATTACATGGTCTCCGTTGGTTTTTATCCTCATTTTTCTATGATCGTTTGGAATTGGAGAACTGGAGAGAAGATTATTTCTGTGAACACTCATATACGGGACGAAGTTGGACAAATACTTAGGATTACTCAAGGTGAACCCACTGTGATCGCGCAGATGGGTAAAACTTGTGGAACGATGTTCACCTGGGAGTTGAATATCGCTGCAAATGTTGCTGTCTTAAAAGGTGAGAATAGAATTTTTCAAATTTCACCGACATTCGAAATTTTCCAGGAGTTGTAACCTGTGTTAAAAAAAATTCCAGATCACGAAGTGCAGCTTCCTAATCACGGAAAGATCGCGTGGATAGACTGGTGTCCAACTTCTAGCGAGCCTCTGTTAGCCATCACAGACACATTTGGGCACATCTTCCTCAGCAACTACGACGGCAGCAACGTCTATCGGATCGTTTTATCCCAAAGATGCGGTATTTGCACGGACATCGCTTTGCCGTTGGTGCACTGGTTCCGAGACGGTATCGTTCTGCGGACAACCTTTTGTCAAATCCGATTTTACACGAAGAACGTCAGAAAAGACAGGTGGCAACGAACGTGGTACGTGACATCTGTAACCAAACCTTATATCGTTGTCATTCATCCTTCCAACAACAATCGGTTCTTCTATCACACGTTCGAGGGATATTTGATGCAAATTGATTTCTTCGAAGAGGACGAGAATCCCAGAATCAGCAAGTATTTGGATTATGGAGCGATTCATCGATTCGTAGATTTTGTATACCCTTGGTGTCATCATTTGGTAGTGTCGGATGATTCGAAGGGGTTGTTGATTCTGGAGTGTTACAGTGGAACACCAGTGTCCACGTTCGATGCAGATATCGATGGCGAGGTAGCTTGCCAAGTCTCTCACCCAGACTATCCGATGATCGTCCTGGGAACGACGCAGGGCGAAGCGATCTTCCTGAGCTTAGTTCAGCCTATTACGCCTACGATAGTGGCTAGCTTAAAGCTGCAGAGGGAACCTTTAGATTTGATTAAGTTTTCGTATTCTGGAAGGTGAGAAGATTTTTCCCATAAGAGTAGATTTATCTTTAAATTCAAACACATTGCATTTTTTACAGATTCCTGATAGCAGCCGAGAAAGCAAGTGGCAACTGCTACTGCATCAACCTGCATCGCGAGAAAGCGTACACGGTGCAAACTCTAATCCGTGTTCAACGTTCGATTACCGATCTTTTGGTCTATGAAGCATTCAGAAAACTGAGGGTGCTGGTGTTGTTCGTTGGGGTAGCGCAATACGAAGTGGGCCAGCAACTGATGGTGTTCGAGGTGCAAGAAAATCAGAATCTGGTCACCGATGTAGTCGAAATACTTGATTTACCTGGGGTCTATCGTGCAATTTCTTATGTTCCTGGAAATCCGACGCTGTTCGTCGGATCTCCTTATCTGACACGTCAACTGAGGGTGCAAAAGGTGCAAGATTACAAGGATGTAATTATGGTGGATGGTCTTGCCACGGGACATCAAGTTAGACTGGCTAATATCTTCGTCGATCGAGCCTGGATCAGCACTACAGCTCTGGATGGATTGGTTCTGGTCAGGGACAAAACTGTCCGACAGTTACAGACCTGTATTATGACACACCATAGAACTGACTTTGGTACCGTGAAGGCGATGGTGAACAGGAATGGAGATTTCATAGTGTGTATTGGGTACAATGGCTCTTTGGTTGCTGTAAGAAGCGTTCCTGCTGACAATAAGGTTCTCCTTTATTCTTATTTCTCCCCGATTAACTACTTTTAAAAATATAAATATTATTTTCCTCCATCTTTCTTTCAGCGTAGAAGAATACTGCCACTCCTGGTGACGAGCCTTTCATGTACAAGGTAGATTATGCTCTCTACGAGAAATACCAAAGGAAAATCTTCTCCGATTACGTCACTCTGGACCCCACGGCTTACGGTATACTGACTCGTCGAAGATCAGTGTTTCCTGGTCCTAAACAGAAAGACAAAACATGGTCGGAGTGGCGCGAAGAGTTTCAAATTCTTCAAGAGACAGAAACGTGCAAGGAAGAGAAGGAGAAAATTCTGCAAGATTTCAAGGCATTGAAAGGCAAAGTGAAGAAGCTAGTCGATGAGAACGAAGTCTGTCCAAAAATAGAAAAACTTCCGATGTCTTCGTTCGACTTGGATAAAGCAGGTCGTGATCACAAATTGAAAGCAGGTCGAGACGACTGCGAGGATCTTCGGTTAAAATTAGAACACGACATCGGCGAGATGAAGAGGGTGACAAGGTGGATTCGAGAGACTTTTTGGAATCCTCAGACGATTCTAGGTAAATCGATAATCGCCATCTTTGGCACCGAACACGTCACCAACTATCCCTCGGTTGCTGAAGACTCAAACGTTAAGTATCGTCTCCAGTTGGCCACCTTCTACAAGGAAGTTATACAAACGATCGTAGAAAACGAAACTTTCCGACCTTGGCAACTCTATGATAAAGAAGAACTTGAAATCGAATTGGGCAAACGATTGAAATTGAAACAAGAAGAGAGAAGAAGGATCGATTTGTTGTTCGCGGAGGAAGAGGACGAAGAGATCGCTGAAGAAGATACAAAAGAAGAGATAGCAATGGAAGGTAAGATTTCACCGTTATTTTATTATTTATATCTATCTTTCTATTTCATCAAAGGTACGACTACACATCGGTTTATCGCGGCGTCGCCGTATTATTCTCAGCTGGAATGTTACGCTTTCGATCAGCTTTTAATAAACAACTATTTCCTGATGCACGATTGCGCCGAACTTCGGATACACTTCAATCGCGCGTTCGATGAGATGTACGAGAAAAAAGAAAGGGAAATGAACATGATACAGGCACGAATCGAGAGAATACGTCATATCGACTCGGAACTGAGAAGCATGTTCGGTCAGCACGTGCCACGTGTCCCTACTGATTCTAAATGGCATTGGAAGGTATGATAATTATTTTATATTAATTATAGTACACCTAGATAATTTGATTGTTGTTGGCGCGTAGGAGAGGCCGGAAGATATTATCAAGGTTCTCGATCACGAAGTGAAGGCAAAGCCTTACGTTTCTCCGTCGCAACAAGAGATCTTAGACAAGCAGGCGGCCGAGGAAGAACGAATCAGACAGTTGTTGTTAGCTGATGATTTTCGCGAACGCGCTTTAATGACGATGATGGGTGGTGTACTGGAGGTTCGATGGGAGGACACCATCAAGATAGACGTACCTAAGCCTGCCTGTATGCTTCAAAAGAAACCGGAAGATTATACCGCGGAAGATCTTCAAGTGGTGAAACAGTACGAGAAGGATGTGCAATTTTTGCAGGAAGAACGGGAACGTTACAAGAGGATGCTGGAGACGGAATACGTCAGGGTGATGGGACTTCTTCAAGAAGGGATCGATAAATTTAATGAAAAACTTAATGAATTATTCAAGGTAAGTGTGCGTATCTTTTATTTTTTTTTTTTCTTTTTTAATTACGTACCATATCGAAAGTAAATCAATGAACCTTTCGGTTTCATTGTAGCTAAAGATGAACATCGAAGCAGCCATAAACCAGATGAATCTCCGTTACATCCGTGGGTATATACAAATTTATAATCGAGAACAATCGTTGCAAGAGGAAATGAAATTAAAAACACGAATTACGGAAAAAGAGGAATACGAGAATACCCTGAAGAGTGATTTACAGACCTACCAGAACGTTCATCAGCAGTTAATCGCGAAATACGAGCTACTAGATCACAAGCAGAAAGTAATGTCTAAAAGATTTAAATCCGAATTCTCGTCTATGAGTAAACTGAACCTGGAACTACTCGAGCGTCAATACAAACGTCGTCCAAAGACGAACTTAAAGAACCTTGGCCCTTCGGAGTTGCTGGAGCTTGGACATCACGTCCTGAAGAAATCACGACCAATTTTTTTACCATCAGAATGCAACGAATATTTGAAGGCCCTGGATCATCTGGACGTTCGACCGACCACCCTACCTCCAACCATAGACACCTCGCAGTGGGATCATCTGATTCGTCTGAGACGTTTGAAAATCGATGCAGAATTTAAGACGAGATCTAAACAGGTGCAAATAGTGGACGCGGAAACTGTGATCCTCGGATTCGAACAGAGGATCGAGAAGTGCAAAGCCGAGGTTGAGAGAACGAAGAAGAATCTCGAGGAAACTCGGAGACGTCGAACGATTTCTAATCTGGACGTGGAGGTACAGCTGGTGCTGAAGATGGGACAGGTGGAGATAAATACCAACGGAAATATGAAAGACACCGAAACCGCGATCCTGATCTCGCACAACGAGATCGAATCCGTGAACAAGCTGATCAGGGCCGCGGGTGCGTGCAAGCTGAAAGCTTTGTCTCAGTTGTTGAATTTTCAGCAAGGTACAGTATTCTTAAAACTCCATTTCGTAAAAGAAGAAAACGTTGAGAGCTGGATTTTCTATGTACAGGTACACTGATGAAACAATGGGAGCACGAGTGTAAACGAAAGCGTTTGGAGGATCTGCGAGAGGACTTGCGGTTCACAGAATCGGTGACGGTAACCAAAGAGATGCAGTTGTTCTTGAAGCGTAAGGCTAGGGGTATGAAAGAGGACAAGACGCAGCAACAGCTGGCCGAACACATCGAGGCGATGAAGCAGGGATTCGAGCAGAATCTCGATGAACAGAAGGATCGATTGCAGTCGATCCAGACGGAGATCGAGAGCACCAGGAGCAAGAACAAGCAGCTCGATCAACAGATATTGGAGATGAACGTGGCGAGGTGCGAGATGGAGCAACGTCGCGATCTTATCGGCGAGGCGAGGCAACAGGAACACGCGGAGAAGAAGCTGAAGATGATCATGAAGCGAGCCGCGCTGATCAAGAAGCTGCAGGATAATTACGCGGAATTGTTGGAGCTGCAAACCGAGCACGAGCTGCTCAGACTCCGACGATATCCGACCTTCGGTTTCAAGATGCTCGACGACAAGCCAAAACCGAACGACGATCCTCCCTCTCGTTTCGATTCTTGTCCTTGCTGATGGATGTTTCGTAATTTTTTAGCTTTCGTAATCAGAATTTGTTAAGTTCGATCTACTTGTAGATCGAAAGACCACCACCATCGAAACGTTAATAAAAACGCTTAAATTACAGCAGACCGAAAGGATTTAATCAGGCTCGCTTTGCTGGCTCTCAGAAAAGGACAAGCGGCAATTTGCCGCGGCACATAAATCACACGGGGACCCAACATCCCTCTACATAATAGGCGCCGCGATCTATCCTCTTTTTCACCATAAATAACTGTACTAATAGTATAGCAGAGCGAGAGGATGAATGATGCCAAGGGAAGATGGCGTGGTCGCGAAACGATCGCGTACGAATCAATTTCTTCTGAGAAATTCCCAGCTGGGACCCGTTTCTCCACTACCCTTTGCCACCGATAAAAGTAGAAAAAAGAAAAAGAACTTGAAACTCATCGTGCGACGATTAAAGGACGGATTCTTCGCTATTCTTCGCTAGTCGATCGCGTGAATCATTTTTTATAGAAAGAGAAGTTGGGATATTGTTGAAGTTGATACAGCAAGGGTAATGGCTTGAAAGAATTTTTTTCTTTTTCTTTTTCTTGAAATTCATGAGACGAGAATATTATTATTATTGGTTTTCAACATTTCTGGATGCGGTTACAATCGGAAGTAATTTTTATTATTAATAAAAAGAGATAGATGGGTATGGTAAAAATGCCGACACGGTGAGCCTTCGATTATCCGTATTGTAAATATTTTCAGCTTAACGATCGTATGATTTTTATTAATGAACAGACCGGCCTCCGCGCAGCTTTTGTCCCCTAAATACTGTGGTGGTCGAAAGGTTATTCATCGGTTTGCTCTTTTTGTTGCCGCGGTAGCCGTGACGGGCCAGGGAATCCGGGATATCTGTGACCAGAGATCGATTAATCATCGTTTAGCCGCTGACATCGACGTAATATTGTCATCGTTACGTAAAAACACCGAGTCTCTGTTACGAAAGTGCCACTTACCTCGATTACTCTTGTTTGTTGCTTCGTTTCGAGATACCAGATAAAATATTGCTATATCGCTCGTTAAATAGTTCATTAATTGTGGAACGGCGAATGGGGAGGGTCGTTCTGCCAAACATAGCCGAACAAAAAGCTTAGATAATGAACGTTTTAATGTATGCAGAGATTGGAAAGGTGGAAATTAGTTGGTAAAACGAACGGTTTCGCAGTCTCTGCGATGTAGAATCGGAAGATCGCTTGGTACAGGAGGTTCGGAGTTCGGAGGGGGGGGGCGGTTATCGGGAAAGCTGGCACTCCAATCAATGCAAATCAAATCGAGAGCCGTGAATACGAAGCGTATAGTCAAATCAACCGAATAAAAGCTTCATGAATGTAAAAGACTGGTGAATGCGAGCCAATCTGGTAATGCGTCTTCTCCCTCCGCACCCGCGGTCGGTTGCCCTGCCGCCCTCTTAACCGGGGGTGAGAAAAAACACCCCTGCCTGGATATTGCGTTATGCTGACCACTACGCGTGTTCGACGACTCGTTAAAAAAAGAAAAGCACGTACACACAGACGTATCGCACCTCTTTATAGCGTTTTTGTGGTTTTTTTCTAGTGATAAAGAGATGCTGGAGTACCGAAGGGTTCAGATAAATCGTGATTTTCAGAATTTTCTGAACGAACGAGCGAATTGTTTTAAAATAGGGCTAAACAGAAAACACTGTGATTTATCATTTTAATTACATTTAATTGTATTTTATTAATTTTATTTCTTTTCGAAGAGACCATGGGGTTTGCGACCCTCCGAAGTTAGGTCGTGCAAATCCGATGCATCGTACATGGATTCTCCGGTCGGTTTAGTGGATTCTACCAGTTCATAATATTCTACAAACGAAATTAGATTGATTAAAATTTTAATCGTGCCTATAGTATGTAAATTCGTACCATTTTCTGGTCGATATTTCAACTTCTCCTTTCGAAATGGCTTAACGTTAGGCGTATCATCGGAGTTGTATTTTCTGGATTGAGCAAGGCTTCCTACAGAAAACATTTTTATTGATGTTATATCGAAATTCTGCTGAATAGGGTTTTAGATTTCTTATAATTCACCGTTGAAACGTTGAAGCAAAAAATGTCGTAACATCGGGTGAAAGCGAACTAAAGTTCTAATAACTAGAATTTTCAATAACACGTCGGTTCATCTCGAAAGGTAATTTAATGAAGCATCAAAACTTTCCTATTTCAACTTGACGTACTCGATTTGAAGTTTGCTATTTCAAGCTGCTTCAACTTCGTGTAGGTACGTATGTTACAATATATAATATTTTTCTGCCTTGTTTTCGAGCATGCGTACAAAGTCTCAGCGTCACTCACAGACATGTTTCCGCGTTATTAAAATTAAGGATTTACTGTATTTATCTTCTTGGCTTATTGAATAAACTCATTAGCAGCATAAACGTGTTGATTTTATTACATCTGAGCGCCTCCCCTATTATTTTATCCTTTTATTTATTATTTTACCCCAATTTTCGGGCCTCGCGTGGACCACCCTTCCAAGTCATTTATTATTTTATCCCTCTTCATAGGCCTCGGCTCAACCTTCCCAGTTATTTATTATTTTTTCGTTTTTAAGGGTCTCACGAGGCCCAACCCTTTATCACTGCATCCCTTACATGTCTGCATCCTTAACATCCCTGTATCCCTTATATCACTACATTCCCTGTATTCCTGCATCTCGTATATGCCAGCACTCCTTATACCTCGGCATCCCTTCCATCTCTGCACCCTTTATATCTCTGTATCCCTTCAACTCCAGAATTCTCCCTGCATCTCTTGTATCCTTTCAACCCTTATAATAACTATATAAATAATCTACTTATGGCGACTGGTTCGAGTAAAGGTAAGTAAAGGTAAGTAAAGGTAAGTAAAGGTAAGTAAAGTCTCGTAAAAAATAATTTTAAATTTAAATTTTTGCAAAATTTAGTTCCTTTTTTACCACCAGAGGGCGCTGGTTCGACGTTGAAATTTTAGTTCCAATTTTTCCCGCTAGAGGGCCAAAATTTGGGCAAGCTATAGTTCCTTTTTTTGAAACCAGATGGCGCTGATTCGACGTCGAAATTTTAGTTCAAATTTTTCCCGCTAGAGGGCCAAAATTTGGGCAAGGTTTAGTTCCTTTTCCTGAAATCAGATGGCGCTGTTTCGACGTCGAAATTTTAGTTCAAATTTTTCCCGCTAGAGGGCCAAAATTTGGGCAAGGTTTAGTTCCTTTTCCTGAAATCAGATGGCGCTGATTCGACGTCGAAATTTCAGTTCAAATTTTTCCCGCTAGAGGACCAAAATTTTGGCAAGCTTTAGTTCCTTTTTTTACCGCCAGGAGGCGCTATGATGGGATGCTTACAAAAGGGATGCAAGAATGTAAAAGGATGCAGTGATATAAGTGATGTAAGGATGTAGCGGATGAAGGGATGTAAGGAACACAGAGATGTAGGGAATGTAGAGATGTAAGGAATAGAGGGATATAAGGGATGCAGGGATGTAAGGAATGCAGAGTTGTAAGGGATGCAGGGATGTAAGGAATGCATGGATGTAAGGGATGCAGGGATGTAAGGAATGCAGGGATGTAAGGAAAGCAGAGATGTAAAGGATTTTTTTTTTTTTTTTTTTTTAACGTGGGGAAATCTTGCATAAGACCCCCCACCGACCCCTGTAGGAGTGCGGCGGGGGAGTGTCAGATTCTTACTGACTAAAACCCCACGGCGACCGACACTGCCGCTAATCAAGTGGTCATCATTCAACGAACGTCTTAAAGTTAACGCAAATAATCTTTACTTTGAATTTTTAACAAAAATTTGTTGCTCGATCGATACTGTGGTACTATAATTGTAAGAGTATGTACATACGTAAATAAAACACTGTTACAAATTGATTATGGACAAACTTTTATTCTACATTTTCAATTTACATTTGTATGTGAAATTAGTAGAATTTTGCTTGCACCAGCTGTTTTATAATAGCACAAAATGGAAGCCGTAAAATAAAAAAAAAAGTAAAAGGAAAAGAAAATCTAGCGACAAACGAAAGAAGGAAGTTTCATCGTGAATTTTCAGTGGTCACCTCTTTTCCGTATAAGGCGAGGCGATCTTAGCCGGTTGGCGCAATAAAAATTTGACACGATCGTCCGAGGATCGGTCGGCTAAGAAAAACGGTCGGCGCGCGGTGAGAGACAGGCAGGCAGGAAGGACGGTCGACTTTACGACTGGTGGATACGCGAAGGGCGAAAAGGGACGACAGCGAAACTCGTTATTATCCGACCGTACTTCTTCGTGGCGTCCAAGAAGAAGACGGGCCTGTACCCTGTACCGTCGATTGCGACGGCCGTCGGTGCACGCTCGCTCATCCACGGGCCACTTTCAGACCATAAAGAGACAATGGAACGTTCTTCTCTTGGCTGGCCCGCTGCCAGGCAGTAAACTCGCATTTTCGCGAACAAGAAGAAGCGTTTCGTTCTTCTTCGGATGGAAGGAGAGCGAAACTGTTGAAGGCTCTCGCTGGATGCTACTTCCACGATTCGGCTAACTCCGTGGTAGCTTCGATTTTCAAGAAACGACCATGAATTCCTGGTATCGTGACCTGGTGCGTGGTCCTGGGAGAGTAGTTGAAACGGCGCGAAATTCAACGGTTCGCAATTCGCAAGCTTGCGTGTCTAGATTCTCAAGGCTGAGAGTGAAAACCTCGAAGCTGAAGTTTGTGGAATTCCGTTTTATTAACGAAAAGGAATATTTTCAAGGAAATAATGTCAGCTTTGAAACGGCGATTTCAGGGCTTGTTTCGAGGTTGGTTGGATATCGTAGAAGGTTGGAACGTCGCGATCGTTCAGTCCAATCCGCCGAAAAGGAACAAGGGTGGCGTTCCATCCGGTCTCGTCGCATCGTGCCTCGTGGATCCGCGCATACGTAAGTGCCTGTTCCGAGTACGGTACATCGAAACGAAGAAACACGTCCAGCTTACCAAGGATTAATGTCACGCTTAGGCATCGTCCACTTGACGATGGCGAGCAACGCGAATGCTGATAATGCAGCCTTTCAAATGGCGCTTCTTCAGCTGTTCGGTACGTATTAGTTCGTTACATATCAAATAATTATTGATTTCGAAACCTAGAAGCCTGACACGATTCGACGACAAAAAAAAAATATATCGCGGAACGACTGCATACAAGTTTCTTCGATATTCTTAATACAAAATGATTGACTGGTGGTTGAAACGAAAAACAAAAGGACTAAAACGACTACGTAATTTACTATTTCGAAACGTTCATTTAAAACGAAGACACCTTTCATGATCGTGAAACTAACGTCGTTTTAATGACAGGCTTCTGCGTGCTCGACAAATGATGAAGTGTCAAACGGAGCCCCTAGATGGGCGTTCTTTTCCGATGGATACAATTATGTATTCCACGGACAAATTTTTAATTAGCAGTGGCTGTTTCGTTCCCATCGTCAGATGGCCTTCGTTCGGCCCACTTTTCTTGCCTTTTCCACGGTGTTTCACACGTTTCGTTTCTGGGCAGTCCTTTTAAAAATTAGTCTACGTTTTGGAAAACGTAAAATGATTCGTGACTTACTACATGCATTCAAGTTGCCTAGGAAGGGATAATTTGTTGGAAATTATTAGTAAAGAAATAGGTAACTGGCAGGCGATCGAAGCGCCCGGGGAATGTGCTTGGGAAGAATCAAGGAAAATATGTATAATAGAAGGACGCATTGCGTGCGATTGAAACCGCACGCGACTCGCGAACGGAAAGCACGCGTTAATGAGTTGCACGAGGATGCCGCAAGCTTCTCATAATGTTGCAGCTTCAACGGCATTTTTGTACAAGTTCTGCGTGTTGCATGAAAATATTTCTTCGTTCAACTCCTTCGCTATTCTTTCTATCGTTCGTTTTGTATAAAGATCCATTTTATTATTCGTAGTTAAACATTGATTGATTGATCGATCGATTGATCGACGTGCAAGTAGACACGATAGTATTTAAGCGATATAAAGAGTGTTTTTAATTTCTGATGTACAATAAAGAGGATAAGTTGCATGGTAGGAGTAAACGCTAGCAGCCACGGAGCTTCTCGACGGATCTCGAGGTACGTTTTCTCCCCGTCTCGTCTCGATCGTCTCGTTTCCTCGCGAAATCTCGACCGCCATTAATTCAGTCTTCGGCTGACAGGTCACTCGAGTAGAACATCCCATTACAGATATTACGGGGCCAGAGTAAGGCACTGTTCCTATCAAATAATTATTATTGTTGTTTGCTTTGCGCGAGGCTTCCTCTTCGCGGTCTACCTTCACCCCTTCTGCAGCATCTCTCGCGATGGGTCGACGGGGTGACCGGCAATTTCTTTCTAAATTTATTACCGATGACCGATATACCGTTCGCTGCTATCCGAATCGGGATCAGAAGCGAACCTCGCTGCTGGACAAAGATGATTCGTTCGCGTTCGATTCCTGGGGCTAGGGGTTGGTACGAGACCGTGCGCACAAGGGGTCAAAGTCTCGAGGTTACGGTAATAAATATCAGGGAAGCTGATTGTTCAGCTCGATGCGTTCTTCTCGCGATCCGTTTCGGGGGATGCTGGCGGATTCGAGAGGAATTCATTGGGTGTCGCTGCTGGCGTTGCTAGAACGAACCAACTGATTCAAGGGAGGGGTTGCCGTTGAGTAACTGTTGATACTTGGATGATTAACGGCCTAC